CATTTCTGATGAAGGGTCTAGGCCCGAAACGTCAGCCTTCTCGCTCCTATGATGCTGCTTGGCCTGCTGTGTTCATCCAGCTCGACACCTTGTTATCTCAGATTTTCTAGCATCTGCAATTCCTACTATCTCCAATAAAAAAAGGCAGACAGCTGTACTCAATAATGCATAGATTTGGTATAGACTGCACTAATCTAAAAGTCAGAACCCTCAAGTTTGAACGTTATAAAAATGAATACAAATTATACATTTAAAGAAACTGATTTTTTAAAAAAGTGAATATCAAATGCCTCATCTTACCAACAGTGCCATACCAAAGTAACATTTCTTTAAATAAAGTTTATAGTTTCATCTCTTCAAAGTCTTTCCTTATACCCAATCAAGATGCTAGGTAGCACACAAGAATTTGATTTTCCTTTTCCCACTGTGACCGAACAATCTGAACACTTTCCTTCTAAGTTTGAATTTGAGATGGGTAATTGTCACATGGAAGTGATGGCATCAATTAGTATGTATATTGCAAGCTCACACCCTTAGAGCATTGATGTATTATCATGCAATAAAATTTAATCACATTTAACATCCATGCAGACGTAGGTGCAATCAATAGCTCAAATATTTAATTTGAAGTTGCCCAAAACAACTTTCTTCTCATCAGAAATGTGGATAAGTGTAATGTTTTAACTAGCACCTAATCTAAACGATTATTACTGGTAAGAGAAAAGGAAAATAGAAAGACAGAATATAGGAGCAGTAATAGATCATTTGGTCCTTCAAGCCTGCTCTGCCATTCAATATGATCTTTGCTGATCGTCCAACTCAGTACCCTGTTCCTGTTTTCTCCCCATATCCTTTGATCCCTTTAGTCCTAAGAAATACACATATCTCCTTCTTGAAAATATTCAGTGATTTGGTCCCAAATCACTTTCTGTAGCAGAGAATTCTACAGGCCCAACACTTTCTGGGTGAAGACATTTTTACTCATCTCTATGATAAAAAGCCTACTTGTCATTCTTAAACTGTGAAGCCCTGGTCATCGAAAACATCCTTCTTGTATCTACCCTGTCTAATCCTATCAGAATTTTATAGGTTTCTATACGATCACCCCTCGTTCTTCCAAACTCTGGTGAATATAGTACTAACTGATCCAGTCGCTCTTTGTATGTCAGTCCTGCCATCCTATGAATCGGTCTGGGAAAACTTCTTTGCACTTCCTCAATAGCCAGAACATCCTTGCCCAGATAAGATGACCAAAACTACACACAATACTCCGGGTGTGGTCTCTCTAATGCCCTGTACAACTGCAGCAAGCCAACCCTGTTCCTGCACTTGAATCCTTTCGCTGTGAAGACCAACATTCTTTTACCATTCTTCACCACCTACAGCACCTGCATGCTTACTTTCAGTGACTAGTATACAAGGACACCCAGGTTTCGCTGCATCTCTCCCTTTCCCAATCTAATTGCTAGTCAGATAATAATTTGTCTGCCTGTTTTTGCTGCCAAAGTGGATAACCTCACATTTATCAACATTACTCTGCATTTGCCAGGTTGTTCAAGGATGTGAAGAGGAGAATAATTTTAGAGCCAACATGTCAGTAGACTGGGGATCCAAATGTGGTTCAGTAAGAACAGGAGTAATGGATGACTTGATGCAAAGATGTTGCAAACTGCAGGGTTTTGCATGAACTGGTTTATTATCTGTGGAAGATGGAAGGCCAGATGGGAGAACGCTGGAATAGCTTTGTTTAAAGCAAGAGTAATGATTTCAGCAGCAAATAAGCTGAGGCAGCAGCAGAGGCAGACAATATTATAAAGGTGCCAGTAAGGGTCTTTATTACAGAGTGGATAAGTGGTCAGAAGATCAAAGTGCAAATAACCTGTTTCAGCCCAAGACCACCCCCGTGAGGATTACGACAAAAGTGCTGATGAAACAGAGTTTGTGTCTGTGTTTGGTTTTCTAAATATTTTAATTGTAAAAGATTCAATTGAACCATGATTCATGTTTGGCAGCAAAGAAACAGCAAATCCAACTTTTGGCACAGACCAGCAAAATACAAAACCAATCAAGATGTATGTGGCTATGCCAAGCACCTGTGAGAAAAGAGGGAATAACACTCAAACATGTTCTCACAGAGAATGGGATCATCAGTGGAAATAACATCAGCAGATAGTGCTCTCCTCTCAGTGTAATAACAAGTCTGGATCAGTCAGTTGCTATTGTAGATGTTGATGATGTAGGACAAGAGGCAATCAGAAAACAAAAAAACAAACAGAATTTGCTGCTCGGAAACTTTAAGCACATATCTGTTCAACGTTCTCTGCTAAGACTGTGAACTATATATACTGTTGAATTGCAGTGAATTTTCCACAATGTCAAGGTGACACTATTTCTCCCTTGTGCAAGACATTACTGAATGGCTGGCCCAATGCAGCTAGTTTGTGTTCTACAAGACAATAAAACTTTTATATAAGCATCCAACAACTATCAAGGCTCCACCAACTTTTATTTTATTGGCAGGCTATTGACATGAAGACCTTTGATCCCTTTTACAGCATAATAATTAAAGTGGCAATCATCTACTAAAGTAATAGAATAATTCAACAGAATTCAACCCAAGGGTACAGACTCCAATATAGAATTTTTTTTAAAAAACTGAGATAAACATAACAACCAAGCATTGAACACAAAATCTTTCATTCTACTCACAACAAAATGAAAATCCTTTGACACCTCATACTTTAAATATTAGACCAAGAGACAGCTTAGCAGTACCAGTATGTTAATACACCATGATGAAATAGACAATTGTATTGTTGATTTACGTGTTAATACTTGTGTATGCTGACCACATAATTGAACTAGCTGTATTACAATTTATTTGTGAAGGAAAAGCATTTCCACCTCTAGTTGCATATCTGGAGCAGACAAGCCACTCTTAGGGAAGTAACAACACTGACAATTCATGATCCTTTTAAAACCCACAGATGCTCAATTTTGGGTGCACAGAAAAATAAAAATTCTCAAGACTTTCAAATCCAAACTCATTAGTTGGAGGGCTCACAGAAAAATACATTAATCTAGAAGTGAATATAACTATTAACAGGGTTATACATTTGACTCATCTGGCATGATGCCTAGTTGAGTGTAAAAATGTGATCCATTTAGTTCAAGCATGCTATCAGGGTGTCTTCAGCTATGAGGTTTTCAAGGGCATTGCTTTTTAAAAAGTGAAGAGCTAACATATTTCATTTCTTTAAATGCTCAACTTAAATGAGCTTCCAAGCTGTTTCATTATTCAGGTCATAAATCCTAACTGCAGGCGTCACTTCAAAATTAAACAAAGGCTGATATTAATGCACTGAAATAACACCAGTGACATTTATTTTACCAGAAGTGTAAAGCTCAAAGGGTCATATTTTCAAATCTCCAAGTAGCAGAGTTGAGGTCTATTGTGCACTTCTGCAAGTGTTGGATTTTTCCCTCCCTAGGGTAGCTGGCAGATAAATGCTGTCAGTGCAGAAATTAAAAAAAGTCTGGATGTGAGCAACAGTCCTAATGACGCACAAGTCCCACATGTAGCATTTAAAGCTCCATTTCCTGTAAGCAACTGAACCATTTTAAGGATGAACTGTTGTTGCTATTGTGCCCCAATCCAATCGACAGACTTGGGACATCGGAACTACCATGAGACACGGTCTCACTCTTACCTTAATCACCCTGTCTACGCCGTCCTCAGACATCCTGCTGATCTTAAACCGGGAGGGGGAGGGGGATGGTGGGGGTGAGTGGAAATAGGGGTGAGAGGAAAGGGAAAGGACGGAACACGCTCGGGTTCCCCAGAAAGCAGCCGAACTGGTGGGCAGTGGGAGAAGATGAGAACAAGGCCCACTAAGAGGGGGAAGAGGGAGGGGGCCTGGGAAAGGGGAAGAACACTATTCCCCTTTTAATCCAGCTTCAAAACAGATACGACAACTAACGGCTTCAGATCGAAAAACTCTCCGTGCCCGACATGCTGAAGAGCAGCCGCTGGCTACCTCACTCGCCGGCTACAAGAAACCCCGCGATCGACAGGCCACCATTGCGGCCACAACGCATCTTAATGAAAGACGCATGCGCTACCACACGGTGCCGCACGTCAGACCGTGACGTCACAGCGTCCCCCGGTTGCCGGGGCATTTATCAGGAGGGATGCCGGGATAGCTCCTGGAGGCTGGCGGGTCCTCCGAATTTTTGATGGCGGGCATACTTCGAGGCGTAGGAAATACTCAGCAGGTTAGGAAGCGTCTCACGGGAGAAATAAACAATTAATATTTCAGGACATGACTGAGAAGGCCCGTTACCACATGTTATGCGTTGTATTCAGCACGGCTAACGCATTTTCTCACTCTTAGCTCTTATTTTCTCTTAGACAGTATGCTTCGGACAGATTGCATATGTAACTCTATGAGGAAAAGCATCATCTGCACCATCTACAAGTGGAGGAGGGAGAATTCACTGCTGAATGCAGATTACAAAATCCTGTCTAAGGTCATTGCCTGAGATAACAAGGTGTAGAGCTGGATGAACACAGCAGGCCAAGCAGCATCAGAGGAGCAGGAAGGCTGACGTTTCGGGTCTAGACCCTTCTTCAGAAATGGTCATTGCCAACCAGATCAGGTGATTCATCCCAACCAAACCTGTACTGTGCAGGCAGTGAGATCTCTGAAGTCCATGCAGTCCTCGGGGATATGATCGCCTATGTGCAGGACAGGGGCATGGACGCCTGTCTCATCAGCCAAGACCAAGAGAAGTGCTTTGATGGGATATTCCACACCTGCAAGTGAGATGTTCTCTCTAAAATGGGTTTTGGGAAGAGAATGCAAAATTGGCTCTGCATCAACATTGTTAGGATCTCAATCAATGGATGGGAATCAGAAAGTGTCTGAATCAGAAAGTGTCCCAATCAAATATGGACTCGGGCAAGATTGCTGTCTCTCTGCTGCCTTGTTTGTATTGTATAGAACCTTTTGCCGAGTTCATCAGGAAGGATGTGAGGGGTGACAATTCCAGGCAGCGGAGGCCTGCAGCTTGAAGCCTCCCTGTCTGTGGATGACTGCTATTTTCTGCTTTCAGACTCGTGAGCTTCTGTGACCGGTTCAAACTGGCCTCGAGAGCCAAGGTAAATCAAGGCAAGAGAGAGAGCATGTTCTTTGGGAACTGGCCTGACCAATCCTTTGCCCCCTTCATTGTCAGGACAAATTACCTGAATGTACTGGAACAATGATTTGAAGGGGCCGGGGCATTTGCAAAAACTTGGGAGGAGCATATTGCCAAGGTGAGGCAGGAACTGGGCCTATTGGAGCCCCACCCCCGTCCATTGTGGGTAAAAGTCTGGTCATCAAGTATGAGGTAGTGTTGGTATTGCTGCACGTGGCCCAGGTCTAAGCCATTCCCCGAATCTGTGCTTTTGCAGTCACTTGAGCTATCTTCCACTTCATCTGGAGGTCATAGATGGACCGTGTCTGCAGGGACACCATGTACAAAGTTCTGGATAAGGGCTGGGAAAAGATGTGCCAAATCCTGCCCTCATCCGTTGTGTGTGGCTGCATCACGCTGTATATATACTAATGGTACACAAACACCAAGTGTTGCTATGTATTAAGGTTCTACCTGTCCTCAGTGTTGTGAATGGTACAGAACGCAATGAATATCTGTTCAGTATCACCTGTCGTTCGTGGAAAAATTTGTAAAGAAAAACCCCTTCGATCACAAGTCTATCAGGAAGTGGTTAGCACATAGCTTGAGACCCTATGGGAAAAGGAGAGGGTACAACCTGTCGCATGGTTTCCTGAGAAGACCATCAAAGTTATTTGACAGAATTCTGGTGATGAGGCACTTTCCAACCAGCACCAAGATGTAGCTTGGCTGGTGGTGAGAAGGGCAGTCCCTGTCAGATCCTTCATGCATGCCCTATCTCTGCGCACCACTGCACACTGCCCTTGAAGTGGCTGTGTTGGTGAAGAGATTTTCACATATCTCCTTCTGGAATGCACCTTTGCAAAGCAGATCTGGAGATAGATGCAGTGGTTTTTGTCAAGGTTTGTCCCAAGCAGCTCCAAGATGCACGACTCTGAGCTGTACAGGCTGTTCCCCAGGATGCACACTGAGACAAGTGTTGCCTGTGTCTGGAGGACTATCAATTTGGTGATCTGCTCTTTAGTCTGCCTGCAACTTGTTGGTCTTCGGGAGTAAAGAGTTTACCTCGACCAAGTGTTGCAGACTGGCACATTCCAAGGGACTATTTGCTGAGGGACACACTAAAGCTTGGGGCAGCTACCACCAAGACACAGTGGGGAAAGACTGTCTAAAATCTTTCTGCTGAAGTATGAGGGTCTGTTCAGTTATCAGAACCTCTCGTTGCCTCAATGTATGTACATAGTGTCCCGTATGAGTAAGAAATGCCTTTGAATTTTGCAACTGCAAGGAATGTTAAATTCCAATGCTTGTATTTTTTCTTGATGTGCAAAGACTACAGACTGCTTTAGTACATGTAAATCTAGATAAAGAGTTTTTATGAATAAAATATATTTTCTAATATAAAAGATAATCTCTTATTCAGCCTTTCTTTATCCTGGCCTGCTGTCCGTTATCTCCTTGTTTTCCCATCTCGATCATATCTCTCTGTCTCTCTGTTTCTGTCTCTGTCTCTTTACTCTCTCTGTGTCTCTCCCTGGTCTCTGCTCCTCTCCCCTCCCCACCAACCCAATCTTGGCTGCAGCATGAATACCAGTTTTTCCCAGTAACTATCACTTTTGATGAAGAGTAACTGGACTCAAATGTTAACTCTGCTTTCTTCCCACAGATGCTGCCAGACCAGCTGAGTGTCTCCAGCCGTTCCTGTTTTTGTTACTGATATTGCCTGACTACCTGTATATTTCCATCTTTTTTTCTGGTTTTATTTCATTATCTGCAGTATAACTATTTTATGTACTGCCGCTACTCTTGCCCAACTTGAAGAATTAGTTTTCTGACAGGATATCCTGTTGCTTCATCTTCACTGTTTTCTGTTTTTGTGTTTGTCAGGACGGTGTCTATGTATCTGCTATCCTTTTTCTTCCAGATGGACATTTTGTGGGTTTGGAAGGTGCTGCTTAAGGATTTTTGGTGAATTTCTGCAATGAAGCTTGTAGACAGTATACACTGCTGCTAATGAGCATCTGTGGAACAGGGAGTGGATGTTGTGCCAATCAAGCAGGTTGCTTTGCTCCGGATAGTGTCAATTGTTTTGAGTTTTAGAGCTGGACTCATCTGGGCAAGTGGGGAGTATTCCATCACACTCCTGACTTGTCCCTTGTAGATAGTGGACAGGCTTTGGGGAGTCAGCAGGTGAGCAGTATTCCTACCCTCTGACCTGGTCTTGTCTGTAAAAAGACAGAGAAACAATTTAAGTGCCTCAGCATAATTCTCTATTTCACATTTTCTATGGAAATTAAGAAGCTGCATAATTGTTTATGGATTGAAAGGACTGACTTGGTCATTTTGCTTGCAGATTAAAGTAAAGAGAATAAAGTTAGCACACTCATCTCCTCAAACAGCTTTTTGATTATCTTCTGGTCTAATTGTAAGTTGGAGACACTTCCCTGTAAACCCTGATAGTGAATGTCACCTTTCTTTGCATGAATGCAGTATGTCTTTTTAAAAAAATCTTCATTTTGTCATCGTGCACAAATGCATCCGTATCAATTTGACTTTAATATCAAAAATTATAATATGTTAAGACCATCAAATTCATATACATCTATGAAATTACAGAAAACCATAATATTTAGAATTCTTAGGCTTTTGCATCAGCTGGTTAGTTATCTTCAAGTTGTGGTTCTTTTTCCTTAAACTATTTTAATGGTCTGTAATCAATGTCAAAGTAACCTGCCACCAAACCTGAATAATGATTTACCATTAATCCTGAGAGATTGCTCTGCATTTCTTTATAGCAAGGTAATAAAAAGCTAGGGTCTGCAGAGAACCTTTGCTGGGTATCCTGATTTCTTAATTGCACAGCCCTATTTTCAGACTATTTGAGAACAATAGTATATAAATAGCTCATTTGTTGCTTGGGTTGTATGATAATTATCATTAGTATGTGTGCAGTGATTGTTTTACTTATGCCTGTCAAAATTGTAGAATTTGTAAGTGTGTATGGAGTAGATTAAACTTGGGGCCATCTGTAGCATGATGGACAAAAGTATACTTTTTAATATTCGTACCTAAATGAGGGAAATATATACTCAAAGATATCCTCATGGGATGTGTGTGACAAGAACTTATTAAATAGAAAATACAGATTAAAAAGTGTATTAGGATATGGCATTTCAGTAAAATTAATTTGTCTCTAGACTGTTATGTACGAATACTTTGCTGTGTTAAACAATCTATTAAATGTGCAAGAGAAATATATCAACAGCTATTCTCTAATTTATCTGAATCTCTGCTTGAAATCACAGGAGCAATAGTGTAAGACCATTTAAGAATCTGTTCTGCAAATGTACAGTGCTAGGCTAGAGCACTGCAGTGGATATTAAATACTTCAGTGCAATACTTCAGTGGATATTAAAAGTATCCTAAGCCTTGAATTAGTTCTTGTTGTTTTGGAATATGCACAGAGGACTTTGACACCAGAGCTGAAGTCACTTCATGGAAACTGGGCTTGACTGGCACATGTGAGCACACAGGCTGGCCAGTGTTGCACGGGGGAATGAATCGGAAGTGCCAGATCTTCTCTGTACTGAAGTTGTTGTCTCTCATCCTCCTGCCAGTCTCTGAAAAACCTGCACTAGCTGGAACAAAGCCAGAGTACACAGCTATTTATACGTAGCGCTGACCTTTCATGCAATTTGCTCATATTAACAAAAACACAGAATCATTTAAGCAAGCTGGGATTGCTGGAATCATTTTTAATTTTTGTGGATGTGTATTTTGTTTTTTCTCATTCTCTACCTTTTAACTGTGTGCACATTCCACAGCAAAGTGCTATAACCAGCACTTGGGTCTGTCTGCTGCTGCTCTATAGCTTCTTGCCATAGCAAACAAAAGGATTGTAGATATTTTGTAATCAACCTGTTTGGAGATTTGATTTTGATTTAATTTGATTTGATTTATTATTGTCACATGTACCAAGATACAGTGAAAAGTACTG